ATGTACATTTTAGATTAGTTATTTGTGAATCTTCATAGACATTAATTAATTGCAGGTACAAATGAAGTTCTTAGTTGATTTTCTCCTCCCCGTTATGAGCTTTAATGCTGTTACAAAATCCAATCATAAAATTCATTTACCGCTCTTACTAAGAATTGTACTTGAATTTTTAAATTGTATTTCCTTAAATATACGTCACTTTGAAGAATATCGCGAAGTTGTAAATGTTAATTGTACCGGTATCTGTATTCTGTGAAAATGTAAATTTCTTGCGTGATTAACCATTTCGGGAGATATGATAATTTTTTTTATATAAAGTAGATATTGTAAAAATGTTTGCACCACAAATTTACGTATATTTCCGGTGTACCGTTAAATGATTTTGGAGATGCATCATGAGAATTAACAGGCAGATCATCTTGTACGTTCAGCGAAACCTTCTCGAAATGTAAAACTAATATTTTCGAGATGATAAAGTTGCGTCATATTGTGATAAATATATATTTGTTTAAATCTTGTCAGTCTAATCACAATAAAATTCTTATTAAATATTAACACGGCAATATTCCAGACAGACGTAACTCCTCCACAACTTCATTTCTGGTATGTTTCAAAATTAATTTATCAATATATTATTTTATTTTCTATTTCTAATTTATTAATATTCATTTAGTCTTTATATTATTTACTTTGCAGGATGATACAAAAACAACAACAAAACGTTCACTCACACAAAATCATGTTAAGCACGACGTACATACAGAACAACTTCGAATACGTAATATTTTAATATTTAATAGAAATTTTATTGTGATTAGACTGACAAGATTCAAACAAATAATATTTTCGAGTTACAGTTACTACGCTTATTTTATCGTTTTCTGTCGACACGAATATATAATAAATAACAATAATTACATATACTTTTTACGAGTTTCTGAGTTGTGGCTAATTACGGACTTAACAACGAGGATTTGATTACCGATTATTGAGGAATATATCTCTCCACTAAATATAGAACGTGCTATCCGAGGTTCGATCCCCGATGGGGCAAAAGATTTTTCCTCTAGCCTCTGCGTCAAGACCGGCTCTAGGGCTCACCCAGCCTCCTATCCAATGAGTACCGGGGTCCTCTTCCCTGGGTTAAAGCTCGACCGGGGCGTGACACTTATCACTCACCCCACCTAGTGCCGAGGTTAAGAATGAGAACGAACTGTACCACCTCTCCCCGCAAGCGTTTACATGGCGTGTAGTGGGACAGCTTTACTTTGCTTTATGAAGAATCGATGCTTCCAGGTTCCGAGCAGGCAACCGTAGCTCTGATATTTAGACGTATTTATTATACATCTTGCCTTAGTCATATCAGCCTCCCTTGTTCTCAGACAGTTCCACAGATGTTGTATTTAACTGTGGCATAATCATCTCCTTCCAGATTTATTCCCGTCCTTATTCTTTCTCATTCGACGTAGTTGGTTTGGCGACTATAAAATCCTAAGGTCGATTGACTCATAAATTAATCTTCACGGTTGAGGAAGTCATTGAGAGAAGATATAATAACCGCCATATTCGACTATAAATTCTTTTTTTCATTTGCGATTCTCTTATAAATTTGCAACAAACTCAACATAAAAAGTATGCAAAGAGCAAACAACAACGATGTTAGTTCGTGACCGAAACCAGATACAAACTCAACATAAAAAGTATGCAAAGAACAATGTTAGTTCGTGCTCGAGACCAGATTACTACCGCCTACGATTAATTTGTTATTTTGGTTTAAGTAAATTTTTTTCAAGAGACGGGAAATTTCCACGACCGTTTTACTTCAGAGAGACAACACATAAACACGCCATTAAGTATCAACAGTTGCTACAAATAAAACATACTTAGGGCTTTCATCTCTTGTCGAATGTTTTGATGACAGCACCACCACAGACTTCAGAGTTATGACACTACAGAGACGTTCAGAAAACAGCAGAAAGCTCATTCAGCACATTTAGTAGTGGTATACATGAGTTCTACAAAGTAATTCCGGTGTTTGAGACTAATATACAGGGTGTTTATAAATTAGCTGACGATTTGAGTGTCTTTTTTATTAATTTATAATAACTATGGAAACATTACTTAATATAAAACAATGACACTGCATTCTGTTGATATTTCATTTTTACTGGTAATTTCCGATGATACTGTTACACAGTTTGTTTACAAATGAATATCATTACAGTGTATTTATGATTTTTTTCTATATTTAACTTCACATTCAACTGCCGCGTTCCCTTATTCGTACTAATCGCATGTAATATTAACTTCGTCCAAAGTGGATTCACCGAAACATATTATTCGTGTTGGAAAAGGGTTTGCTGTAATATCGGCAATTAGAATTTCATTTGTTTTATTGCTGCGATGGTGTGAGACTGTCTGTGTTGAACTGTGGTCGCCAACGGGCTCATTGGTTATCCCTCAGGTAATACATGAACAAAAACGTGTCACTTTACCATTTTTTCCACCACAAATCCCACGTGGAATGTCGTGGGAGTGTAAACGGACCTCCGCGGTCATACATCGGTGAATAACCACCTGTGTTGCGGCACGGCCTACAAATACAATTACCCAAGATGCATCAGAACGCGTATGGAAAGAGCCGAATTGTAGGTTATGTGTATGTCGAACTACGAGGGAAGTTCAGAAAGTAAGGGCAGTATTTGAAACATATTTATTTGTGGTTTGCAACACGGCTGACCCTTCGTCATAGCTCGAGGACGAAAAGTGATATGCTCTGAGTGTGGTTCAGTTGTAATCTGAAGATTTCTGTCTTCTGGATTGTTGCGCCATGTAGTCTGGTCGATGTTTACCAACGTTTC